AAAAAATATACCAATAAGAGTTATATAAAACAAGCACAAAATCCCTTAGTTGCACTTCATTCTTTATTCGGTCATACCGTTAGGTACACGTTTTAATTCTTGGTGGATGGTGGCTCCTCCTAGCTAAAGTGGCAGATTCAAGTGGGTCACCATAAAGTACTAACTAACCCAATGAAAAAAAAAAAAAAAATGCCACCGGCAATTCCTTTTATCGTCCCTTTCAATTTTGGCGAAAATTCATGGCCAGTCCTCCACCTTAGTAATTATGAAAGTATACGTCAGCTCCTCAACTTCCAATGTAAAAGCTTTAACTCCTTGTTTTTTTGATCTAAATGAAAAAACCCAAAATGGATGGTAGTGTCATGTATTCGTTAAAATTTCATTACCCATTGCCATGTCAAGACCAACATGGCAATTCCTTGCCATCGTGAGTGTCACTGCAGACAACAAAATTCCATTACCCATCATGAACTGCTGCTATGCCAATTCCTTTCCATTGCCATGCCAGGGACAGTTTTTTTCACTTTTATTAGTTCGCTTTTATTAGACCTCATAAAATTAGACTCAATTTAAAAATTTGACTCAACTCATTTGCTATAAATAGAGTCATGGGTTTAATGTATCAATCCAAAATTAGATATAACCCAGATTAAAATTATCTAAACCCAACTGAGTTGAGTTTGAGTCAAGTCGAATTAACTTGAAGCAACCTAATTAAAGTTAATTAAGTTTTTTAAAATTTAAAATTTTGATTAATTATACTTTTAATTTTAATTTTTAAGTATAAAATAAAATTAGATACTATAAAATAATTATGATTCATTAGATTATAAGTGTTAATATTAATTTAAAATATTTTTTTGGCTAAATAATTAATTATTATTTTAAAAAAATAGAGAAACTATTAAACATTTTTAATTTTAATTTTTTTTAAAAATTAAGTCAACCTAACCCAATTTGAAATATATGTGGATGAGTCATACGGCTACTTCTTTAATCAGAAATCCAAAATGACTAAACTTGATAAATTTGAAATCCTAGATGACCTAATCCAATCCATCCGATGTGACTTGTTTATTAGGTCTAGATTTTATTGTCCATGATGGCAGTTTTGATGGTAAGGAATTGCCACATGCCACTAACATGGCAATGGGTAACAAAAGTTTAACGACTACATGACACTGATGCCGTCCATTTTGGGTCTTTTCATTTAAGTAAAAAAGATGAGAGATTAAAACTTTCATATTCTAAATTGAGCACACTTTCTTAATTAATAAAATGAAGGACTGATCATGGATTTCAGT